AGCCGCCACAACCACCGCGGCGGCCAGAGCCCTGCCTCCTGGACAGGCCCCGCCCAGCCCTGCTCCGATGACTCTTGGGAAGTATAGTTCCTACCGCCCCTGTGAGCTTGCGCGCAGGCATCGCGTGCACACGCAAACTACAACTCCCAACAACACCGCCACAAACGTTGCTAGGGGATGCGCTTTGCGCGCTCTTTTGCGGCGGGCACTGGTCAACAGCTGCGTTGTTCCAGGGAGTAAACTAAGGTAGTCGTGACACCTGCAGTAGCAGAAGGCTTGGTCACAGGTGCCGGGAATATGGAAACCCAAACTTAACCTGAAGATGACAGGTTTTGAAGAGTTTTGTTGCCTTCGCTTTTCTCTGTAGATGAATTAGTCTTAATAAAGACCTATTGAAAAAAAAAAAAGCAGTGACATTGTTTGGTAGGCTGATTAAGTGACGATAACTACGGATAAATTCACTCCGGAAATAATCATCTATTTTGTGGGTAATAGGTGGCTTGATAAAGTGTGTTTGTTCGGTATTTAAATTTTATATAGAATCCTGAAAGTGCACATATTCAAATATGTGGAATGCTGAACGCAGATTTCACTATTTGTATTGCCACCAGAGGTCTTCCAGAATACAAATCTGACCCTTTAATCTAAAAGCCACAGTACTTCATATTACCACAGTGTACAGTTCTGGTTTGAACAACCTTGTAGACAAAATAGCACTTTTTTTAGGATTTTGTTATTATTTTTAAGTTATTTTTACTTCATGTACATGCATGTTTTGCCTGAATAAGCCCCAACGTGTGTGTCTGGTGCCTGCGGAGGTCAGAAGGGGACATCGGATCTCATGGAACTGGAGTTACAGATATTTGTGGGCTACCAGGGTTCAGTGAGTGAACCTGTCGCAAACAAGTAAGATAGAAGGGGGCTCGAAAGATGGCTTAGCAGTTAAGAGCATTTGTTGCTCTTACAGAAGACCAGGATCAATTCCTTGCTTCTACATGGCAGCTCACAACCATCCATAAATCCATTTCCAGGGAATCCAATCCCCTCCTCTGGCCTGCAAGGGTACCAGGAATGTATGTAATACACAGACATACAAGTAGTGAAACACTCATATACATAAAACTCATATACATAAAAATAAGTAAGCTAGATAAAAAGGCTAGAGGGCCAGGGAGATGGCTCAGCAGGTAAAGGTGCCTCTAAGCCTCAGCTGTGTGAGTTCAGTCCCTGGAACCCATATGGTGGAAGAGAGAACTGACTCAGGAAGGTTGTCCTTTGATCTTCACTAATGTGTCATGGTACATGCATGTACACACATAAGGGATTTGATTTAATAACGTGGACAATGATGGAGGTAGATGCCTAATAACAACCTGTAGCTTACAACCTCATGAACACATGAGCAAACACACACACACAATAAAGTTATTCTTCCTAACTTATGCCCCTGGTGGCTCACCAAACTCTCTCCATCCTCTCCTCCTCCTTCAATAACTTCTTTTTGGGATACAGGGTTTCGTGCAGCCAGCCTCACCTTGAACTTGCTGCATAGCTGAAGGTGAGCATGAATTTCTCATTCTCACATTCCATGTGCTGAGACCACTGGCCTACCTTACCTTGCTTGGTTTACTTGGTGCTGGAGATCAAGCCTGCCCCCATAACATTTTTATTTTTAATTTGCTTTTCTTTTGAAAGACAAGATCTTGTGTAGTCCAGAATAGCTTTGAACACATCATTTTAGCAACGCTAGCCTTGAACGCCTGATCCTCCAGTCCCCATGATTCCCGAGTGCTGGGGTTACAGGAATGCACCTTACAAGGAAGAGCCTTGTTTCCACTCTGATTGGCAGTATGAACCTGGGAGAGTGGAGCCTGAAAATGAGGCACACCAGAGTCTCAGGAAGTAACCGACTTTATTTGGGGCCTCAGACGATTTATGCTCTGAGGGTTAAGCAAGGTCACGTGAGCAAAGTTCACAGGAATTAGGCTATATACAGTCGTGAGGGCGTGTTCACATGAGTTAGGCTGCTCGATCACAAGGATGACCTCAGGTCAGGACATTGTCTAAGCAGAAAGATAATCTGCCGTAAACCCATTCCTACTTAACACACCGGGGAGGGATACCAAAGAACAGTTCAAGAACAATTTTGTGTTTAGAGAGCGTGTGTGTGTGTGTGTGTGTGTGTGTGTTTGCTAGAACATGTAAGCATACAAGTGGGAGGGTTTGTACATCTGTGTACATGGATTTGCCTGTGGAGGCCAAGTCAGAGGGTCAGTGTTAGCTTGGGCGTCCTCAATTGCTTCCCACTTTTTAACTTTATTTCTGAGGCAAGGTTTCCCCTCACCTCCACCATGGAACTCGCCAGTTTTGCTGAAGTGGTTGACCAGCAAGATCCTCCTGTCTTTCTCTGGCTGCCCTGCACGGAGGCTACCAGCATGTACTACTGTGCACAGACATGTTTTATTTTATTTTCTGAATGCTGGGAATCGAATGCAGGTCTTCTGCTGATCTGCTGGTGTCTTAAGCACTTTACTGACCGTGCTAACCTGAGCTATCTTCCCTCCTTTTTTTTTTTTTTCATTCAATTTTAGTGCTAGAGATCCATTCCAGGACTTTTTACAAACTAAATAGGGCTCTATCAGTAAGCCAAATAAATTTTGTTGTTTTTTGTTTTTCGAGACAGGGTTTCTCTGTGTTTTTCTGTGTATGTAGCTTTGGAGCCTGTCTTATAGACCAGGCTGGCCTCGAACTCACAGAGATCCGCCTGTCTCTGCCTCCCAAGTGCTAAGGTTAAAGCCATGTGCCACCACCACCTGGCTTTGTATTTTTTTATTTTATTTTTAAATAAATTTGAGGCTAGCCCAGGCTGGCCTCAAACTTATAATCATCCAGCCTTGACTTCTTGAGTGCCAAGGTAACAGTAAAATTGCCATCACATGCCTCTAGACCCTTATATAATGTTCTATTACACATCTGTGATGCTTTACATTATACAGTAATTAGATAAACCATTTTATACGTTCTGATTATATATATTTCTTGAGGCAGGGTCTTACCTTGTAACCCAGACTGGCCTAGAACTTACTACGTAGTCCACCATAGCCCCACGTTTATAGCAATACAGCAGTCCTCCCTCAGCATTTCCAGACTCTGAGACTACAGGTGAGGGCCTTGATACCAGGCGGCTTTTTGTTTTGTTTGTTTTGTTTTTTCCTATTGTTTGTTTTGTTTCATTTTCCTTTTTTCCTGGTTCCTTGAGTGTAGAGTCAGGTTGTCGGTTTGGCCTTTTCTTGTTTAAATGTAAGCATTCAGGCCTGTGAAGTGGCTCAGCTCAAGGTAAAAGCACTTGTTCCCCATGACTGATGGCTTGAGTTCAACCTGCGGGATTCACAGTGGAAGGTGAGAGCCACCTCTCAAAGCTGTCCTCTGGCTGTGGGAGCCTCTGTGCTCACATGCACCCGTGAGCAGGCGTACGCATGTACACACACATACACAAATGCAGGCTTTCACAAGTGTGAATTTCCTTTAGAACACTTTTACTATGTCTCGCCAATGTTGGTGTGCATGGCTCCTAACGTGCTTTGTGGAAACATTCACTCACATGTATTTTCTACCGTCAATTTTCCCTGTTCCAGGTTTCCAGTTTCATCTTATTAAGGTTCAGAGATGGTATTTTCTATGATTTTTATTATGATAAATTTACCTAGAATTGTTGAATATAGAATTTCTGGTGCCTTGGTCTTTTTATATAAAAATATGATCGATTCATGTGAAAACACACAAAAGCTATGCTCATTGTACATCTCCATCTTTCCACGCCTACAGGTTCGGTCACAAATTATACCTTTACACACCATGTGCCTGTTGATGAGCTTTGTAAGGATTGTGTTACACATTTCCATTTGTCTTTTAAATCATAAGCTGATTTCTTTTTGAAAGATAGGGTCTCCCTGTTTGGTGTAGTAACTCCAGAGGCAGGAGGTGGATCATTTCATTGTGAGGTAGAGACCAGGCTAGTCTTCACAGTGAGTTCCAGGCCAGCCAGAGCTACACAGTAAGACCATATCTTTAAAAAAAAAAAAAAAAAAAGATAGTGTCTCCCTTTGCAGCCTGGCCCAAACTGGAATTAGCTGTTTGGCCAGGCTCTGCTTAAATTCTTCCAGCCTCTGCTTCCCCAGTGCTGAGATTATAGAAGCGAATAGTTACGTCCAGTATAAAGTGATTCGGATACAACCTCATAAAATAGGTTGTATGATGAAACCTGAACCCCGCACCCACGTGAAGTACCTTGTCTACAACTCCCCAGCAATAAACCGCGGCGCCAGCACTCAGCCCCGTTCCTTTTACACTCACTTCTCTATTCCAGACCTTTCGTTCTCATTTTGGTCATCTTATTCTGAGGAATCAAAGGATTTCCAAATTAGTCCCCACTCAGTACATTTCTGAACCCAGCACCCAGGACCCACACATGTGAGTCCTATAGGACCGGTATAGCCCTAGCCCTTGAGTCTCCGGTTAGAGGCGGATCTATTGTGCACTTCAAACTCAGGAAGTTTTCCTTTTGTTCCACGGATGATGCTGAAACTCGAATTCAGGCGTCCCCCGAGTGTTAGTCAAGTACTCTACCCATGAGCTACCTCTTCAGCCCTAACTTCTCTTGTTTGATCCCAAACATTTGGGAAACTTGTCTCTTACCTGTCCTGAGATTGTGGTACTTTACCTAGCACCCATCCACAGTTACTTCTCTGTCAAAGTCACCATACATTACGTCTCCCAGACTCAAAATTTGGATTTACCCCTACTGGCAATTTACAGTCTCAGAGACGAAACCGAAAGTCCTGAAGGCTAGGTTGATCTGGAAAGCAGCCGGCCAGCGGGGACGGTGGCGAGACACTTCGCTAAGCGCTAAGGGGCGCTGGCGACGGCGGAGGCCCGGGATTCTGGAGGCGCAGCCACGGCCCCGCCGCGCCCCGCCCCGCCCCGCCCCGCTGTACCGGGAGCGGAAGCACCGCGGCTGGAACGCTGGCTGCGGGGGACCCAGGAGCCGACCGTCCGGAGCCGAGGACGTCCACCGGGATCGCCAAGCAGGTGCGTGGGTGCCCCAGGAGGCTGTCTGGTCGTTCTGAGGGTCCTGGTAGTACTAGCTGGGTGGCTGTCGTGACCTCGGCTGACGCCTTGCTCAGGGGTCGCGGCCCTAGGCCGGGTGCACCCGGGAGGTCAACCTTGTTCTGTGTGGCCAAACGCCCCCGAAGAACCGCCCCAGAACCCTACTCTCTGAAAGTTAGATTTCCAAGGAAACTCATGCAAAAGTACAATAGTTTGGTGAATACTGCGGCATATGTAGGAAGCAGGGTAGCGGAAGAAATGAGCTTGTTGAAGTCTGGAGTTGAAATTTAGCCAGAGCTGACTGTAAAATTTAGCTCTGGGTCCTATTAAGACAAAAAATTAAAAATAAATGAAAGGGGTAGGTGGGTTAATTTACACTTTTAGCCAAGACCGGGGATAGAGAAGTTCTTATCTGTCTGGGCCTTGTCTGTGTCAAAGTTACAATTTATTTAAAAGAAAAAGAGGTGAAGAATTACACCCTGTAGGTTTGCCCTTGGGTTGGATTTGTGCATCTGCGCCACTAGAAGGTACTTCCTGCGTTCTGGCTCTTCTTGATGGTGAAGCTGCCGCACCTAGGAAGACTGAGACTGCCCCCAGGAACGGTCTCCCTCAGATTGGCCTCAGGGGCGAGTCTGCAGGAGCATTTTCTTGCTTACTGACTAGCCCACTGTAGGTGTCTCTTCTGGGCAGGTGGTCCTGGGTGTGTAAGAAAACCAGGTTGGGCAGAACCAGAAAGCAAGCCAGTATGCTGCGTTCCTCCCTGGCCTCTGCCTCCAAAAGTGGTTCTCATCTTCCTAAGGCTGCCACCTCTTCTTGTGGTGACCCCCAGCTATAAAATTATTTTCGTTGCTACTTCATAACTGTAACCTTGCTACTGTTATGGCTCGTAATGTAAATATCTGTTTTTTTTAAAAAATATTTATTTATTTATTATGTATACAATATTCTGTCTGTGTGTATGCCTGCAGGCCAGAAGAGGGCACCAGACCCCATTACAGATGGTTGTGAGCCACCATGTGGTTGCTGGGAATTGAACTCAGGACCTTTGGAAGAGCAGGCAATGCTCTTAACCTCTGAGCCATCTCTCCAGCCCGTAAATATCTGTTTTCCAATGGTGTTATGCCCCTGTGAAAGGGTCCTTTGACCCTGGGGTCGTGACCCACGGATTGAGAACCACTGGCCTTCAGGTTTCTGTCTGGAGTTCATGCCCTGACTTCCTTTCGTGGTGGACTGTAAGCTGTGAGATGAAATGAACTCTTCCTCTTCAGGTTCCTTTTGCTTATGAACTTTATGACTTATTTCCCAGCGTGGTATTTCTTGCAGGAATCCTATTTAAGGCCCCATTATGAGACATTCAAGTCAATAAAATAGTTCTTGCTGGAATTCCAAATGATTCATTAGGGGATGGAGTGGGTAGACCTCAGCCTTCTGTGGATTCTGGATTCTAAATGATAATACATTGATAGTAGCAAACTAACCATGGTGTTTGAAGGGGAAAGACGCCCTGAGTAAGAGCGTGCTGCAGAAGTTTTCATCGCATTTGACTCCATCCTTATTCCGGAAGTACTTTTTAGGTATATAGTTTAATGCTGTGTGCCAAGGAGATATATCCAGAACGTCTGTTTTTCATTCCAGACGTACGCTGTTGGCACCGTTTAGTCTGGCCATGCTAATCATGTCAGAAGGTTTTTCTATAACCCAAGGCTTTATGCGTGAGTATTTTAAAGTGGTCTGGATTCTAACTAGGCATATAAATAAAGCATAGCTCCTAAGTAGAATTAGCTTCTATGTAGAAATGATGACAGAGGTGGAGAACAGCCAATGAAAGAAAAGTAAGATATGATCAGTTTTGGGACCGATGGCAGGGTAGCCGATAGGAAGACAGTTCTTGATGGGTCAGCCTTAGGACTTCCAGAAAGGAAGAATTGTAAAGACTACCCGCTACCGTTTACTAGAGAGGCAGCCTTTCTTTGCTGTGTGGTCTTTAGGTCTCTGTAGCTGTGTGGGCTCACTAGAGTCTCTGTTCTATGGCATCCGTGTTTTTATGTCAGTACCATGGGGTTTTGGTTACTATGGCTCTGCAGTATACCTAAGATGAGAGCATCCTTCTTTCTGCTAAGGATCACTCTGACTATTGGGGGTCTTTTGTGCACCCACATGAATTTTAAGATTTTTTTTTTTTTTTTTTTTGGTTTTTCGAGACAGGGTTTCTCTGTAGCTTTGGAGCCTGTCCTGGAACTCCCTTTGTAGACCAGGCTGGCCTCGAACTCACAGAGATCCTCCTGCCTCTGCCTCCCAAGTGCTGGGATTAAAGGCGTGCGCCACCACCGCCCGGCAGGATTTTTTTTTTTTTTTGGTCTTCTTTGAAAAATATCTTTGGGATTTTGATTGCTTTGAATCTGCAGATCATTTTCAATAATACAGCCATTTTTATAATATTCTGTCAGCACATGGGAGGCCCTCCTTCTAGTTTCTTCTTCTGATTGTGCTTTTTAAAGTGTTCCTCATAGAGGTATTTCACCTCCTTTCATTGGATTTATTTCTAATTTGATTTTTTGTTTGTTTTTCGAGACAAGCTTTGGAGCCTGTCCTGAAACTAGCTCTTGTAGGCCAGGCTGGGCTGGCCTTGATCTCACAGAGGTTCGCCTGCCTCTGCCTCCCGAGTACTGGGATTAGCTTCTAATTTGATTTTTAGAAGTGACCTTTTTTCCCCCCCTTAGAGTTGTTTTGACAAGTTTGTTATTGGTTCATAAAAAGGATGCCTATCTTTGTTGGTTTTGTTTCCTGCCACTTTTCTAAGAGTCTTACCAAGTCTAAGGACCTTCTGGTAGAAGCCAGTCATGGAATCACACACCTGTAATCCCAGCACTCTGAGGGCTAAAACAGGAGGATCACCGTGAGTTCGAAGCCTGGGCTTCACACTGAGTTCTCCAGCCAGTACAAGGAGACCCTAGTTTAACACTAAACCAGCCCAGTAAGTGTGGTGGTGCATGCCTTTAATCCTAGGACTTGGGCAGTAGAGGTAGACAGCTAGATCTCTGAGTTCAAACCCAGCCTGGTCTACATAGCAAGTTCTAGGCTAGCCAAAGCTACAACAATGAACAACAAATACCTAAAGTAAACAAAAAAATGCAATAAAAATCAACAGTGCAAAGTTTCTGGTGGAGTCCTTAGGATGTTTTGAAGATGGCGTCACGTCATGTGGAAATAGGGATGAATTGCCTCTTTTGTTCCGTGTGTGTTTCTTTCATTTCTCTTTCATCTCACTAGTCCAGTAAGACTTCTAGCACTATGTTGAAAAGAGTGGAGAGTTGTTACCCTTGTCTCTTTTCTAATTTTATATAAAATTCCCCATTTAGTGAAATGTCATGTTTAACTCTTACTGTTGAGGTTCATCCCTTCTGTTTCTGCTTTCTCAAGGCCTTTGTCATGAAGGGATGTTGGACTTTGTGAAAGGCCTTTAATGCATTGATAGCTGTGATCATGTGATTTTTGTCATGAAATCTTTTTGTCCGTTGTATTACATTTATAGGTGTGGATATGTTGAACCGGGCTTACATCCCTGAGATGAAACTAACTTTTACAGTGTGTGATCTTATAAATGTGTTCTTGAAATCGATTTACAATATCTTTAAGGAATTTTGTAGTTGTCGGAGAATTTGGTGTGTAGTTTTCTTTTTGTTGTTGTTGTGTCCTGTCTGGTTTGATATCAGGGTGATACTGACTTTGTAGAATGAGCGTGGTAGGGTTCCTTCCCCTTTCTGCTTTGAGGAGCAGTTTGAAGAGTTCTGGTGTTGGCTTCCTCTTAACAGTATGGGAGATTGTGGCAGTGAGCCGTCCCGTACCGTGTGCCACTTTGTGGGCACATTTATTACTATCCCAACTTAAGTACCTGTAGCAGCTGCTTAAGTTGTCTGTGTCTTCTTGACTTAATTTTGGTAGGTCATGTATTTGTAGGAATTATTCATTTCCTCCAGATTTCCTAGGGTTTTTGTTTTGTTGTTTGTTCATTTTTTGTTTTGTAATGCAAGTTATAGGATTCACAAAGATACTCTGCATTTTATTCCAAGGTATTGTAACATCCCATTTCCATCTCTAATTTCTTAACTTCTCTCTCTCTCTCTCTCTCTCTCTCTCTCTCTCCCTCCTTCCCTCCCTCCCTCCGCTCTCTCTTTAAGGGCTTATGTAGCCCAGGCTTGTCTGAGACTTTCTGTCTAGCTGAGGATAACCTTGAACTTCTAACCCTCTACAGCCACCTGTGGTGCTGGGATTATAGACTTGTACCACCACGCCCAGTTTAGCTGACACTGAAGAGTCAGCCCGTGACTGTGCAGACACTCCTCAAACTGTATTTTTGGTCAGCCTGCCTAAAAGTTTGTCAGTGTTGCTTATCTTTCAAAGAACCAACTTTTCATTTGGCTAATCCATGCCTCGTTCTTTTTTAGCCCCTGTTTCACTCATTTCTGCTCTATCTACAACTTTTGATTTTGACTTGTTCTTGTTTTCTAAGAAGTTAGGGGTGAATCATTAGTTTGAGATTACACTGATTTGTTTTATTTTTGAGACAGTGTCTCACTATGTAGCCTTGGCTGGCTTAGATTTTACAATGTAGACCAGGCTGGCCTCAAACTCAGAGAACCACACTCTGCCTCTTGAGTGCTGGGATTAGAGATGGATGCCATCACACCCTGCCCTACTCTGGTCTTTTAGTGTAAGCAATAATAGCTATAAAGTTCCCTCTTAGATCCGTCTTTGCTGTAGCCCAGACTGGCTGAGCCTCTCCTTTTAGTCTTTTAGTCTCTCTCTCTCTCTCTCTCTCTCTCTCTCTCTCTCTTTCTCTCCCCGCCCCCACTGTGTCTCTTAATTGGTGAGTTAAGCCCTTTCCATTTGAGGTTATTATTGAGAAATGTTTACTACTTCCTGTTATTTTTTTTTTTTTTTTTTTTGGTTTTTCGAGACAGGGTTTCTCTGTGGCTTTGGAG